CAGATAAGCGAGTTATCAACTGATCGGGCGAGAGAGCTTCTCGGTATCTCTCGTCGGATAGTCATTTTCGAGCTCGAATATCGTCTTAAGGAGACCGGGGAGAATGCAACGGTCATCAATCACTGGTACTGCGGATCTTTATGCGATTGCAAGATGCGCGAATTTTTACGAATTTTTGCGCAAACGTTGCGTTTTTATCGCGAAGAAATTCGTGTCCGCCCCGTTGAAAATCTCAACGAACCACCAAAATGTTCCGAAGCAATTGCAGGAAACAATAGAAAGCCGGGTGTTCAGCTTCTAACAAGCACGAAAGGCAGGGAGTACGACCGTTTTATAATCGTACATTAGAAATGCATGAATCCGCGTAGTCTAGACTGCCGCCGTTCCCGAAACCAAGCGGCGACCAAAGTTACTGCCGTTCGACCGGCGTGGAACCGCCGCGGGTTGCGGTCACGATAATGCGAAGATCGTTGAATAAACCTACCGGCGGAATGATAAGTGTTTTATTCACTTTCGTCGGGTTGCAAGATCGCGGTGATCAAATCGGAGCGTAAAGCTGGCAGTGACAGCGCGAGTCGCGTCGTTTATCGGTAGCTAATAGAGAGAGGCGGCGAAGGGAAAAAAGATGTCGAATGGGGAGAAATCTGACTCGGGACGGCCCTGATCCGAAGTTATCCGAGCCCGCGATGCAGGGAGAACGAGAGAGAGAGAGAGAGAAAGAGGCATAGAAGGAGACGGGGAACGAGAGAGAAAGAGAGAGCCGATTATATTAAATGGTTGGTAAAACGGTCTGCTTAACATAGCGTTTATCTGCTCCTCTTGGTTTTAGTACTTTTTCACTGCCTCGTCAGCCATTGCCCATAAACTCTACTACAAGGCTTGCCCTCCTCGCCGCCGCACTTCATCCCCGTGATGCTCGGTCTCCGTTACCCCTACACATTTTTCTCGGTACCCTCGTCGTCTGACCTACGGCGAGGCGGCGCGGCGCGGCACGGCGCGCACATGCACACACGCCACCGCGCCATGTGTCTGCTGTCCGTCGACGACGAGGACGAGGAAAGCGTCGGTGTATACTTAGCAACGGGACTCATAAAGAATATAGAACCATTAAAACGAGTCATCCTCTTGAGCGCGCTCATCACACTTCGACGCCTTTTTTGTTTACGTAAATCGTCCTCCCCCGTTCGCGCGCACCCTCCGTTTCACTTTGCCTCCAGAAGAGACCGACTCTCTCTCTCGCCTCTTCTTCTTCTCTCCTCTCTTCTTTCACGAGTGCCCGATTAAGCCCCGGGCCCGTTCAACCGGCGAGCATTACGCAAAGCGTATCGCGAATAAACGCGAATCCGTTCGCGTTATCCGACGATCAAACGCGACGACGCGGCGGCGGTCCCCGCGCCTGCGAAAATCAACTTCTCGTCGGAGATCTATGGGGTCCCGGGTTCTCGTGGGTGCGCTGCCTGGTTCGATTCTGTACTTCTGCATCGATGGAGGTTAGATTAATTCCTACCGCTTTAGCCGGTTTGTGTATTTTTCTGTGCTAATTACGCTTATTCGTCTGTGGTGATAATGTAAGAAAAATTGTAAAATTGTAAAAAAACGAAGAAACGATCGAACTTTGTCCCCTGTCGTTATTGATGCGCGAAATAGGAATGATGGATTTTGATTTTATATTTAACACTATTATGCGCATAATAATGCAATAAGACTATCTATAAGGTATCTATGAGGTGTTAAAGAAGAGAGACTTTTTCCTAAGGATATTCTTTTACGAAATTGTACCTCGTCCTGAATCGCTACTCTTTCTCTAGCAAATCCCTAGCAAAAGATGATGTCGGAATCGGCTTTCGCAGGTCAAGAAGTCCCTGTAATCTTGCACCCGAGTGGTGACTCTGAGGCACCACTAAAATTGTTAGTTCGCGTTCCAAGATAATTTTTATACTAACGAAGTTTAAATTTAAAAAATTGTTAGAATCGTAACTGTCATCACAAGTTATCGCAAGATTCAATTTCACATGCATAAAATGCACTTTGTCATATAAAATGGAAATACCGTAAGTCAGAAAAATTATTTTAGATTTACGGTCAAAATGGCTTCGAGCGTAAAGGGTTAATATACGAATTTGCTGAATCAACTATCAAAAACAAGAGACAGACAGACACGTAATAATATTATGGAATAATAATAATAATATTCTTAAGCTTCCTTTTCTATCATTGCAGATTTGTATACTAGTATTTGCGACAAACGCATCAAATCCGCAGGTCTAGCGCACATTTGAAAAACATTGTGCTAGAGATCAACCTTGACGCCGACATTTAACAGTCGCCAGCATCGATTACGCGAATATCGTGCAGCTGTTTTGACTACATTTACTGACTCATCTCGTTAGACTAACTATTCCCATTTGCAACAAACAAAGTATAAACACCAGCGACGCGGATTTAGCGAACGGTTTCCATGGGCGGGGGTTGTTTTTATCGAAAGTAAATCGAGGCCGCGTTTACTGTTGTAGATCAATTTTTTCGGGCGGTTCTCTCGGCATTGGGAAAGGAGCAGCATCCGACAATGCGGCCGGTTTGCCGTGCCCTTTCGAATTTTTATCGAAAGGACATATACAACGGACGGTGTACGCGGAATGTCGTCGACGTCGAACCCTCAACCAGCACAATACCACCCTCGTCGCGGAGAAAGGAGACTAGCTGGCCGATGGCGAGACTGGGGGAGGAAGAGAGAAAGAGAAAGAGCAAGAGAGAGAGAGAGAGAGAGAGAGAGAGAGCCGTGTGTAGGATATACACATATACTTATGGCGGAACGACGTGAAAGAGGGTGGCTTAGCATGAGGGGCGTGGTGGCCCCACCACCCCCATCAAGCGACCAGGCAGAAACTACTTTTGGGGTAGCCGACCCACACACCTCCTCCTTCTCTCCGCCTCAGCCCCCCGTTTCGACCCTTGTGTCTGTTCGAACCGAGCCGAGCCAAGCCGAATGCGAAGCCAGCCAGCCAGCCAGCTAGCTTCGCTAGCGAGCCAGCCAAGCCACCCCTCGCACCCGAAAAATAATTGCGCGTTTCGTGGTCTCTTGATCCGCGCGTAAAAGTAATCCAAACATCGCATAAAAATTATGTTTACGAGTTTCGAATGGGCGCAGGGGTCGACCCTGCACCGCCACGCTCGGGNTCGAAAGTAAATCGAGGCCGCGTTTACTGTTGTAGATCAATTTTTTCGGGCGGTTCTCTCGGCATTGGGAAAGGAGCAGCATCCGACAATGCGGCCGGTTTGCCGTGCCCTTTCGAATTTTTATCGAAAGGACATATACAACGGACGGTGTACGCGGAATGTCGTCGACGTCGAACCCTCAACCAGCACAATACCACCCTCGTCGCGGAGAAAGGAGACTAGCTGGCCGATGGCGAGACTGGGGGAGGAAGAGAGAAAGAGAAAGAGCAAGAGAGAGAGAGAGAGAGAGAGAGAGAGCCGTGTGTAGGATATACACATATACTTATGGCGGAACGACGTGAAAGAGGGTGGCTTAGCATGAGGGGCGTGGTGGCCCCACCACCCCCATCAAGCGACCAGGCAGAAACTACTTTTGGGGTAGCCGACCCACACACCTCCTCCTTCTCTCCGCCTCAGCCCCCCGTTTCGACCCTTGTGTCTGTTCGAACCGAGCCGAGCCAAGCCGAATGCGAAGCCAGCCAGCCAGCCAGCTAGCTTCGCTAGCGAGCCAGCCAAGCCACCCCTCGCACCCGAAAAATAATTGCGCGTTTCGTGGTCTCTTGATCCGCGCGTAAAAGTAATCCAAACATCGCATAAAAATTATGTTTACGAGTTTCGAATGGGCGCAGGGGTCGACCCTGCACCGCCACGCTCGGGGAACGTATCAACAGCCTCCTGTCTCTCTCCCTCCCTCCCTCTCTCTCTCTCTCTCTTCCATCTTTTACCCCTCTCGGCTAGATAGGGATCTCTTGTTCTAGGAATTTCTCGGATTGTTTAGAACGACTCCTAGAGGCGGTCGGTGCACAAGAGTTTACGAGGTGATCGTCCGTATACTTTTATGGAGTGTGCTCCCTCCTCTTATCTCGTCAGCGTCTATTTAATCGGCAGCCGTTTATCGTCGCTTTTCGGCGACGATGACTGCCGATACGACGGATTACCGCGAATAACACATCAATGAACGCAATCGTTTCGCGCGCTCTATCTCGTTTCAATATCTTGTTTGCTTCTTTTGTCATACTTCTGGCATTTACCTCGCCGAGTTTAACGCCTTGCTTGCCGCAACAATAAGTTGTTTAATCGCGGGATTACAGAAGGTGCGCGCGATTGTTCTTTCGCTCGGTATCTGCACCGAAAAAAGACCTCCGAGCTGTGCGACTCGAGATAACTTCGACTTAAAGGTCGCTTTTGAATAATTTATCTAAGGAACAGATTGAACCAACGTATCGGCGACAATTCCTTGATTTTTGACTAGAATGAAAATTTTACTGAAATCAACAACTTTGCGAGTTGGCCCTTCGATTTTCAACCCTTGAATGATCGTTCGAAACGAACTCGGAAAAACGTGTCGATTGATAACATGCAGTGTTTTCTTCGTCCGGCTTGGCATATGAAAGTCAATTTCAGATAAGCTCGTATTACGTCAACATACATTAGACAGCTATCAGTGCACATTTGAATATGCTAAAATACTACAAACGCTTTACCAGATAAGTCATAACACCGCGGAGATGCTTCGACGGTAATTTTTTGTGGAATATGCCCGGCGCACGGCAGTGCGCCAGGCGTTAATTCCGTAGGCAAAGGCGTTAAGGAATCGTTGCGCGAGCAGCTGCAAAGATAAACCGCAGATTTTGCAGCGGACCGACGTATCTTAATTTATGGGACACACGCTGGTAAATATTGAAGTACAATTTGTGACGCACAGTCGTCGCACGAGCGTAGTCGGCGAAGGTAAACGCGCCGGGTGCCGATGGAAGAATACAACCGCGCACGCACACACTCACCTGTTTTCTCCTTGATTTCGCACAGGACCGAGAACAGGGCCGGCTTCATTCGATGGCAGTTCAGCGTGTGTTTTCTGTGGGAGAAAAACAGAGGATTATGGTCAGGGCGCCGAAATGTAACGAAAGCGCGTCGGGGCGCGTCCGAAAATAAACGCGTCGGATCGTGTTTTTGCGCGGAAGCCGCGTCAACGTTTTGGCACACGTTGAACGATCGTGGACCAATAACGCGAAGATAAACGCGGCCTTATCGCCGAGGCTTGTACACAAGCCGCGTTACGGCTTGTCATTACCAACACGCGTACACGGTTACTCCCCGTCATTGAACGGTTTAACCGTCGTTATAAAATATTAAGAAGACCTCGTAAAAATAATGCCCGCGCGTTTCCCGCAGGTAACAAAGTCGCGGCGGCGGGCTCGAAGGCGATCAACGTAATCCGTTTCCATCACGGTTTTTCCCGGTACGAGCACTGTCAAACGCGGCGCAAGACAAACCGTGATGCCGGCCCGATTTGCAGAATGCAAATATTTTTTACGTGGAAATATTCGCCGGAAATGAAAACGCCGTTAATTCCGGCGGGTCGCCGGGTGCTAGGACTGTCCCGGGAAATTATTCGGCGGTAATCAACCCATAACGGATTAAGCTTGACTCAAGTTGACTCGTTTAAAAATCCATCGACTAAATTCTTCGCTTTATCGTGCTATCGATAGCGAATTCGATCGTTAACAGTGAAATTTCCTCGATCATAACCTAGTATAAATTTCGGAATAATCGAAAACGCGAGCGCAATAAGGTTATCTTATTGCTTTATCAGTGAACAGTTTAGAAAGAATAGCTCGTTCATATTTGAATAATACTACCATCGATTCTTTCAACGTTATTTCCACGTAACTGACGTTTCTGAACACTCGCGGGAATGCCTCACTTATTTAAGAGAGTTTACGAAGCACAGTGTAAATCCTGTTACATCGTAATAGCTTTCCGATGTGCGGTGTTAATATGTGTCAAATTGCAAACAAATACGCACCGGAACAATCAAACATTGATGGCAAACAATCGGAGCAGTTGATAAATGCAACAATTTCACGGACGACTAATAGGCGCCATTAGTATGCAACGGAAGTTGAACGTTGAGTAACTATAAGCCTAAGAGAAGAATTTAACCTTGCAAAGAAAACACGGCAGAAAATTTTGTTAACGATCGAAACGATTTTTCGCGGCATCGATTCGTTCGATGAAGCATCGTGAAGAAGGAAAGTTCGAAAATTGGTTGTTTCGAGCCGCGATTACTCCGGCAGTTCTAGCGTTAAAAAATGGCGGCTCGGATCGGATGCGGAGACTAGGATGATCTACCTCGCTTGCGCCTCGTCTAGACTCTGGTCGGTGATGTTCATGATTTGCTGAAGGATTTCGCCGATATCCTGTTTCCTAGCATCGGCAGCTGGGTCTGGGCCCTGCGTCGCGGACCCATCGACAGGCCCCATGCTTCCGTATCCACCGGTGTTTTGGGCCCCCTGGCCCTGATTGCCTCCCATCAAACCAACACCTGATCCTCCGTGTTGCAACATCCTGCCAGTTTCATCCATCAACCGTGGACTGCAGCGCTGGTGTGTTATCCCCTGCTTCTTTTTTTTATTTTATCTCTATCTCCTATATATATTTCTCTGTTTCTGTTTCTCTCTCTCTCTCTCTCTCTGTCGTTTTCTTCTGTGTCTATCTTTCTACTTAAGTTTCCGCGTTGTCGACGCAACGTCGTCGAGTTCGTTTACACAGTAGACAACACTCGCGGACCACGGTCTATACCAGGTGTCGCGGAAAAACACGACCATAGAAACAACGGGTCCCGCTCTTTCACTCGAAAAACCGACTTCAACGACCTCGTATGCGTTTCTGTGTATAACTTCGAGGAAAATACGTTTGCATACACGTGCTCTTTCTATCTCTATCTCTATCTCACTCGTGCGACACTTCGTATATGGAAGCCCCGGGCAGCAGCAGCGGCAGCAGCAGCAGCAGGCATGCACATTGTAAAAATATAATCTCTCGTAAATAATGCGAATATCGAATGATCGCCGGGGGGGAAACGGTGCACGAAACTGCAGTCAGGATCCGACGAAACGCGCGGTCACGATAGATTCTCCCAGTCGCTTTGGAGGTTATGCCGCCGTGGCCTTTGTCTCTTACGTATCTCGTTTGGCGTTTTAACTCTCTGCTCTTCGCTCTTCTCTTTTCTGATCAATTCGTCCCGTCTCTCTCGCGCTCCCAGCGCTCTCGTCTTCGTTTCTCGCTCCGTGCAGTTCTTTATCTCTGTCTCCCGCTACCTTTCTCGGTGCCCTTCGTATCCTTTTTATTTTTTCCACTTTCGTTCCTCGTATCTGTTCGTGAACAGCGAATCCCAGTAACGTTCCAGTTTACGCGCCGTTTCAAATAATCGGCCTCCCTGGTTCCCTCTTCTTCGGTATACACGCTAAGAGGATGATGAAAATGGTGCAGCTTCGGGCAACTTGGGGACTTGACGGATTGTCGGGTTTTACGTATACGCGGTTAGAGTCGACGGTTCGCGGCGTCGGCGGCCGGCCCGCATGCACTCTCCTTTCACTTGGTCTCTCGAAACGCTGCTCGGCAGAGATGCTTGGTCGAAGTTGCTGAGGAAAATCGGCGGCGTTCCTCGAGCCATCCGCGCACGGACGACGTCACACACCAACTCTCCCTCCGCCTTAGAAGGCAACACGCGAACCGACCGTTGTCTGTCGCTCTTTTCACTCTTCTCGGCCGCGAGCGACTGCTACGCTCCTGGCCCGATGCACGCGCGTGTACGTACGTCCGTGTGCGAGCCCCGTGTCTGCCTCGGTGTGCGTGCGTGCGTGCGCTAATCGGCGGCCATAACAGCCGCCGTCGACCAATCAGAGCGCTCGACTCATCTCCGTCCTCGTCCAGCCAATCCGTTCGCCTCGCTCTCTCTTTCTCCTTCTCACGTGGATTGTCCGCGTGCGCATCCACTTTATTTACGACGCGACCTCGCCGCCTTTTCGTAGCCGCGTTCTACCTTAACCTGTATCGTGGACACCTCTCGAATTTCGACGGACCGCTACGATGCCTTAAAACCCTTCCATTAGGTGAACTCTTTCTATAATTGTAAATTTTTACCGGAGTCTCGCGAGAATATCCGTCGTCCTTTACCTGGTTATTACGAATTACGACAGGCGCAAACTCCGCCCATTTCTCCGACTTCGTTTTTTTTCCATCGTCCTCGCCGTTGGATCCCGTACGCGTATACGTGATTCCCACGCAAACACTTGGGTAAAAAATAGACGAAACTAAACGTTTTGTCGCGATCTCGCCTTGCCGAACACTGTGCAGGTAAAACAAGGAGACTTTGGGCTCGAGAAATGTGAATTATTACCCATCAGTGCGCAGGCTCGCTCTGCAAACATGGCCGCGCGCGGATAATCATTTTTGATGACGCGGGAAAATATAAATGGTCGGTGGCAACTTCCGATTATTGTTCTGTTAAATCGCACGTTCGATTAAAATTACGTGTTTGATGTTTCTACATGTAATATATATTATTTTTCCCTTTTTTATTCGAAGCTCTTTGTAAGATCAATAAAGTAATGTTTCATTGTAGTCAAAGTAATGGACGATTGAAATACGCCTATTGCCTCCAAATAATATTTGGCATTCGTAGTAAAAATGAAATATATTGGATATTCGCTTCCTGCTAACTTGTGGAAATTCCCGAACTATCGGTAACATTGAGCGTGGCACATAAATTGCAAGAAGTCTCTAGAATTCCCCAAAAGCTGTCCATTGGTATCTGGTGTGTCCAATGGTGTCAGGGATTCTGCTCGAAGAGGAGACTTCACCAATGGGATTGGACGATCCCAGTGGTTTGCCAATGGAAATCCTTTGTCATCATTCAATTCCATTTGTGATGGGTAATTCTCCATTCCTACCTTTCTGGAAGAAAGTTGCAAAATGGTTGGACATCTGAGAGGTCTGCCTATACATATCCTAAATCTGTGTTGTCTCATGTGTTTGATTTTTTGTGTTATAACACAAGAATTTTTATAACTTGATTTTTAATTGTATATGTACATTATTGTACAATCATCGCACAATATTTTGTTGAAGTATTGTCATAAAACTATATTATTAAGTAATTTCAAGGAGTAAAATATATGTTACGATTGTGGACGATAACCAACAAATACGAAGTAAACATTGCATCCAACACAAAGTGCCAAAACGAAACGGTGGTTTTCATACCCTCTCTTATAACGCTGTGGAACACCTTGTGCAACTATGGATTACGAGAATTATTATGATAAAAAGCGTAATGGATATATAGTACATTTCCCGAATAATAAGGGAATCGATGAATCAAAGATTCTGGAAATGTTTTCTGCTTATGGACCTGTTTCGTCTATGTATAGCAGCAGTGACACTTACGGTTTACATTTTGTGATATATGAAAATGTAGAAGACGCCGTAAAATGTATAAAAGCCTTTAGAAACAGTAAAGATATTAAAATATTACCACATAAACACAAAATTAAAAAAATTTCAAATGATAACAAGTGTAGACAGAAGAAAGATGTTAATAATATTTCAGTCACTTCGGAGTATGATGATCATAGTAGCTCCGTTATATCAAGTTCATCTTTAAAACACCTATTGCATTTGAAACAAATGACTAAAATGAGATTCTGCTCTTCAATATCTTCAGAAATCTCTGATCAGAGTTCCAGGATAATGGACACTTCGTTTCATGAAGATGAAGTTCTAGCTTGCATTCATAATAAAGAAAGAAAGCTTAATTCAGCTCAAGAAGTAATTGTGGCTAACATTGACCCCAGTACACGTATATCTGACATATTGTGTCTATTTGAAAACTATCATCCAATATGCGCATCCTTTATAATGCAAATACCAAACACCGAAATAAGATTCTGTCGAACTTACTTTGCGACAAGTGCGGAAGCATTATCTGTGGAAAAGAAATTTGATAAATATTCCTTGCACGGGAAGATTCTTATTGTTCTGAAACCCGAAACGATGACTAGGGAAGCTCTTTCTATGTAAAAGTGCTCTAATTCTGTATTTAATTTTTATCAATAATTTGTAATCCAATAATTTGTAATCCAAATCTTATCAATAATTTTACATCTGTTGGATAGCATTTACGTATGTGTTATTACGTACATATTACTATGATGAATTTGACAACAAATTGTATATAACAATTACTGGCAGCATAAGACCTATTTCATATTGAAAATATATAAATAACATTGTTATGTCACTTGAATGTTGTATGTTGAACATTATTATGTGCCTATAATTTAAAGAAAATTGTTGCTAAATTTGTTGCAACATTCTATACCACTCGTTAGAATTTGTAAAGATAATATAGGGATCTTGAAATATTTGTAAATCTATGTGTTAATTTATTCACTCAATTAAAATTTAATTATTTTTTAGAATCCATTTCATTTCGTGAAATTAATAAAATTTTAAGCGTTATCCTTGACAGAACACTCAAATTGCTAGACGATTAGTACAACATTGTGTTAATAGGTAGCGCCATAAATACTTTTATGTTTGCACAGTACAGTATGCTGTCTAACCTATTCTAGATGGTTTCTGGTTTTCCGAAATTTGAAACGTGACTGCCTGTTTTGTGAACTGTGTGTTATTTGTTTTTCTGTTATTATCCACGTGTGTTCTGAGAAATATGCAGTTGAAAATGTCAAAGCCATTTGACAAAAATTTAGTCAGACGACTACTGGTACAGGAGAACTTATTTATCACGAATATATTTTCAAAAACGCCTCTGCCTCAGTCGAAAATAGGTAAAAATATAAGAGGGTAATATAACCTTAAAATTACGTTTAATGTTTATTACGATGATATAGAAACAACTGTTGATTAGTTTCAGATGAAAACAGTAAAATAGTAACACATAATGTCAAAACCATGTCGAAAGGTAGGTTATCTGTAATATTTATACGAAGCTTATATTGTTCGTTAGTTCTCGATTTTGTTTATGTTTTGCATCAAAGTTAAAGGTTTTCCAAAAGTTACCGGAGAAGTGAAAAGAGCAAACACGTTCGAAGAGTTACACGCAAAACTCGAAGGTTTGAGAAATGTGAAAAGACTAGGTTACAAAGATAAACAGTTAAAGAAAAGTTTAAAAAACAAAATGAAGAAAATGTCGAAAAGGGAAGAGCGTATAATGCAAAGAAAGATGGTAAAAACAGAGCAGAATGCAACCGGAGGGCCCAAAATAAAAAAGGATGACTGTGACGTACCAAAGATCCCAAAGCCAAAACCTGTATTCAATTCGGAAGGAAAAATGGTGTTCAGTAAGTTTGATTTTTCTGAAATTGGAACTAAAAGGAAACCCAAAAGTGCAAAGGATCCCAAGAAGATATTACTTCAAATGAAACAGAAAAAAGAGAAATTGAAGGAAATGGAGAAGTCAGGTGAGATAGAGAAAGCTCAAGAGATCAGAGAGAAGCAAGCGTGGAACTCTGTCTTAGCTAAAGCCAGTGGAGAAAAAGTAAATGAAAAAGCTATGCATAATAGTTATGCATAAACTTGCATCTATTTGTAAGCTTACATCTGCGTGTATCTATATTAATTAATTTCTTTTAGGTGAAAGATGATCCCGAATTATTAAAACGTTCGATAAGTAGGAAGGAACAGAAAAAGAAGCACAGTGCCAAGAAATGGGAATCAAGATTGGACAACGTCCAGAAAGGAATTCGAGAACGGCAGGAGAAGCGGCAAGAAAACATTATGAAAAGGAAGAAGGAGAAGAAATTGAACAAACTGAAAAAAAATGCTAAAAAAGGACGGGTGACGCCTGGTTTTTAAATTAATTAGAACGTCGTAGTTTAATCATTTATTTTGGAAGACTTTCGCGTGTATCATACACTGTTTGCTGCGCGCAATTTACTGTAAGGTTGTTGTGCTAAGGCTTTGGAGGTTGTATGCTGTGAGAAGAGTACGAATGTATACATAATTCATTTGAACGAAGCTGTTTTAGAACGTAACGAGAACATTACACAGAGAATATATTAAATTATAGGGATTAATTAGCTTAAATAATATAGATACAAATACCGTTGTAATTAGTCCATGCTTGGCATGTATATACACACATCGGCGATTTCATTCGCGTGATGGACAGTGAATCCTGCGTATGCAATACTACTGTTCACAACGCTTCATTTATACATTTTGATCATTTATTTCTTCATTTTCTTTTTGTACACGATTTTAACAAATTCGTATTTACATTAACATACTTGTAGGCGTACACGTACATTATCTCATTAAGTAACTTTCGTCATGTAAAAAGCGGGATGGTTATAGCGTGCTTTGACAAGTATGCCGGTAAAAAATTTAGTTCGCCTTAGTTTATGTATGTCGCGCGTGTCAGATGTGTTTATACAGTTCATTATAGTTTCTTTTATCTTCTTTTTTCATTTTCGTAACGCTTCTAATCTTTCAAACTAGTTCGTGTTGTGGCACTTTTCGTGGTACAGCCTCGCGTTCTTCGAGTCGAAGGCAGACAGATCTTCACATTTCCAAAGGTGGACAACGTTCGTTTGTTGACTAGTAGATGATTGGTAGATCGAGGACGAGGGCTTCGATGTAGCCGCCCTCCTCAACCTCCTGCTAGGTATCTCCGAGAACGGACGATACGGAATTTGCATGCGTCAAAGCCGTCCACAATGGACTGTGATCTACAGGCAGTGGCACCGCCGATTTCGCTGGTCGAGGAGACCTGAAAAATAAAATGATTTGCGATCAGAGAAAACGGTGCATTCGTTTCTTTAAAACATTTACTGGCGGTCTCCTTATTCAACGGCTCCAAAAATCTATACGTATGTTGCATCATTTAGTTTCATTTAACGATCGAACTATCGGAGGTGGCAAAACGATCTGTTCCAAATTCTGTATTTCATACTATAATGAAATTCAACGAAAGTCATCGATATTAGAATCTTGCGTTTGATATATTATTATATTATCATTTATATATTATTAATCACATTTTTTGGAACGCTTACTTTTAATATTTCACAGTTCTAGTATCAAAATACAATGTGACCGCTTGCAACAAAAATGTTTCTATATACCCTGGAGATCAATCTCTTTTCTTTTTTCAAATCGTCCCGAAAGACGATAACAGTTTTCCGTCAAAGTAGGAAACCCCGAATTGATAGAACGTGATCCGGGGTCGGCAATGTAGGAACTGTTCAGAGCATGCGTTTACAATGAAATTTCGTTCGATATGTGCCGGGCCGGCGGATGGAAACCCAGGTTTCCTTGGGCGCTTCCCGCCGCGCCCTCGTAGGATCGTTCGAAAACCATCGGCGGGTTCGGATGAATTAGCAAAGATCGGTGAGCAAAAATTCAACCTGGGCGGTACCAAAGCTGGATGCTAGTCTGGACTGCTAAGTTCTAGTGCGGTGCTCTGTTCAGGATCCGATCTCTCCTCGACCACCGTATCCAATTCCAGCGATGGGAACGTGCGCGAGTCTCGATCGCTTCGTAGCGACACCGCTCTCGTCGGACGATCAATTCCCACTGTCACATAGAAATCAAATTATAATCACCACTGAAACCTCGACGATCAACGTTGCTTGTTCGGGCTGCCAATTAATTCGCTGCCGTTTCGCAAGCTTGCTCGCAAACAAGTATAGGACTAGATCGATCCATTTGCATCGCAAAAACGAACCGAAACATAATGACGAGCTGCCGTCTACTGTTTTTGTACAGCATTGTTCGGAATGATCAGTGCACGACGATACGCTCTTCTTTATGACAAGAATGAGTAGTTGTTGAGAGAAATTAAATCAAGATTCAATTTATTAAGACTTATTAACCCCTTAATGCACAGTTTTTTTGAAAAAGGCCGGCCAAAAAAGATCAATTTTTTTTAATGTAAAAAAACACAATTTAGAACGTTGTCTTGGCAAGGAAATTACAAAAATACAAAAATAATCAAAACTTTTATTGCAATTTTGGATTTTGATAACACATTGCAGAAAATAGTCGAATATTGTAATATTACACGCGCATCGACTTTTTTTTATCTTTCTTTTCGAATTCCCATTTCAGAATAAACATTATTATCAGTAAAAATATTTATTTATACTTTTAAAACATAAATAATAACAATATTAGTATTTATAATACTTATTATTCTATTTATATATATTATTATTTATATTTTATTTTACATTATATTTTAGTAAAATATATATTGAAAAATGAGCGAATCAGAATCCGAATATGAATACGCTGTTGGAAAGCGGCTCACAAGGAAGAGACAAGTCGTAAGTGATAAGTAGAAGAAGGATATATTTTATACTTGAATAAGTAAGTGTTATAGCTTACAATCCCATGTAAATTATAAATATCAATAAAACGATTGTTTTTTTTTTTGCTTTCACATTGTTATTTTCAATTCACGATCGCATTCGAGTGTGAAAAATGATAGCAACATAAAGTACAACGCCGCTCGAATTATCTCGAGTGTGCACAGTTTGGCCAGTGTAGCGCGCTCGAGTTAACTCGAGCGTGCACGTTAAGGGGTTAAGATTAAATTGATTAAGAGAAGAAATAAATACCTGTGTATATATTCCGCATCGTACAATTTATATAGACAGCCTTTCGTTTTGCAGAAAAATCCGCGGTTTAGCGACGATCGGACACCATTTTCTCAGACCAGAAAAATTCAGCGATGCAAATGGGTAGACCTTATCGCATAGGACAAATTTTTATGTGAAAACTGGTGATCGACTGGATCCTCCGTCCCCGTAAGCCGTGAATTAAATGGCAGCCCCGGCTTATGAGAGAAAAAGAGCCTCGAGCCGGCAAGCAGACTCGCGAGTAAAAGCGCGAGAACGCAGCAAGAATACTAATCGGAGCGTACCTAAGGACGATACGCTTTGTCGATCTATTGTAATAGTTGCAATACAGTTGTATGCAAGATACAGTGTGATGTATAATACATTGCCAGGCTTGCAAGAGCTCAGTCGCGGTTCAGCTACATGCGCCTCGCGGTATCGATGAATTTATTCATGCTGTTGCATCGCGAATGAGCCGAAGCTGCGAGTTATACCGGTCGTTGGAGACGTTTGGACGAGCCGATTCGACGGATTTTCGGCGCGGAGACGCCGACGAAGCGCCCATCGGCGTTTGCCATTGATCCGCCGCACCGAATCATTCCCTATGGCCGTTAACTTTCGGGCGCCGTCCAAATGCGCGCGTTCCTTTCGGCCTTTCGCGGAAATTTAATTAAACTCTACACCGAGAGTATGCAACTGCAGCAGCAGCGGCGGCGGCAGCGGGCAGAGTACATACATAGTTGTGCAATTGAAGTAAAAAAAATGAACCGCGCCGGTTCTCAGAAAATTCTAGCGTCTCTAGAGACGAGATCAAGCAACAAGACCAGGATGAAAAAGCTTTACCTAAATCCTCTTTAGACGCTGCGCTTGACGGGATGGAATGAAATAATGGACAATGTATTTTAGTTCTTTCGACACAGTTGATTACAAGAGTTATCGGAATCCGTTTCGAGCGCCTAACTCCCAAGCTTCCGATATTCTGCTGTCCGGTCGAAAGTTACAACGTTACGCGAGCTTACGAGCCGTGCGGAACGATCGCTCGATCGGAAAAGAAAAACAATGGAGGACCGTTTTATTTATCGCCGGGCATTATCGAGACGATAAAAACCCGTAACGCGTCAAGATCGCGTTGCGTTCCGAAACGCCATACATACGGGACGGCGAAACGTTGCGCGTTGCGAGGCACACCGGACCGGTCGTCGGGATTTATAGGAAACCGATAAAAGCCTTCGCGCTCTCGTCGCGCGTTCGTTTTTTCGCGACGCCGCCGATGAAGATTAAACATTTCCCCGGTGGAAAAAGATACGGCGCGCGCAGCACCGCCGCGTTTGAATTTAAATTTAAAGCACGCCCCGGCACGAATCGGCGCACGAAACCGGACGCATTCAGACCGACATTCAATCTGGTTTAATGCCTTTTCCGCTCCTCTTTATATGCGCCAGGCTCCATTTACGGGACCGCGTCTAAACGCGACGGATTTCCGAGTATCGGGGCATGCGTGGGCGCCCGAAAGCGTCTGGGGAGGAAACCGGGAAGCCGCCGAGGTTGCTAATGAGGACGGGGCTGCTCAAATACAAATATCCCGCGGCCCGTTTACCAGTTTCGCCATGAATCTACGTGTGCGAAAATGTTTCCCTTCGGATGATGGCGGGAAACGGTTTGATATTCGAAGCATCGCCGTGTTCCGAAAATTTTCATCAAATCTGCGCGCTATGAATACAGACTCGTGATTAAGATTTCGAACGACCGAACGTATATCTAACTGCTGTCACTTAGATCGAGATGAATTTCTATTTATTCAACTCGCCGAACGTACGGTGAACGCTCATTTTCTTTCTCTTCCAAGAGATTGTCGATAACGAAGATAGTTTTATATTCTTTGGAGTTTTATTGGGTTGGCGACTGAGTAATTGCCGAATTGTTCAATGAAATAAAAGATTTTTTTACTTGGAATGAAGTTTGATTTAATAATATTTATTCATCCGAAGGCACTGTACAATCGACAGGCACGCGTTAAAGGTTTTGTTACGATGCTAATTAGACTGCGAATTGTGTCCATTTAGAGCAAAATTGGCAAGCGAAACACAGAGCAATGAACACGCCGGAAGCATCTCATAAAATTGTTATATTACTTTGAATCTTTCAAAAATGTCACAGCTCTCCTGTATCTCGTAATCGATGCAGACGATTTTCATTTTACAAGAAACTCCCGAAATTAATTCCAATATTTATTCATCCGAGGACACTGTACAGTCGACAGGCACGCGTTAAAGCTTATGTTACGATGCTAATTAGACTGCGAATTGTATCCATTTAGCGCAAAATTGGCAAACCGAAATACTTTCAATCTCTTGAAGTTACTATTGGGTTGGCAACTAAGTAATTGCCGATTTGTTCAATGAAATAAAAAATTTTGTTTTTACTTGGAACGAAGTTTAATCTGTAATGTATTTTCCATTTTGTTCGATGACCTTTTGCCGTTTCTCTGACAACTTGAAAATTCCACGCTCGTAGAAAGTCTGATCCTTTTCGGCCAAAAACTGAGTTAAGTGAGATTTTACAGCGTCGTCGTCGTTAAAAGTTTTACCACGAAGGGAGTCGTCCAGGGATCGAAATAAGTGGTGATCCGAAGGCGCGAGATCAGGGCTATATGGTGGGTGTAACATCAATTCCCAACCAATATCCATCAATTTTTGCCGAGTGGACAAAGACGTGTACGGCCTCGCATTGTCCTGCTGGAAAATGACACCTTTACGATTGACCAATTCTGGTCGCTTTTCCTTGACCGCTGCATTCAATTTGTCCGGTTGCTAACATTCACGGATAATAAAAAATAACATAATAATAATAATAATAATAATTTTATAATATAACATTTACGGATATCACAAAAATGGGAGTGAGAGACATCTATAACTGAAA